GAGACGTGGCTAGAAGGAAGAGATAAGAGAAGACACTCCCACCCCACATTCACAAGTGTGGTACACTGCAAACTTTCTCAATGTAGTGATTAGTTCCGCCAATTTTTTTTATTCTTCTTATTCTTTTGACTTAAAAAAATGCTATTTGTTACATAAAATGGCTCTCTGGGAAAGGAAGGAGGTGGTATATTGGGAGAAATTGTGTTGATGTAAAAAAAAGACCAATAAAAATTTACTTAATAATAGTTACCAATCACATAGTACATTGAGGTTTGCAAAGAGCTTTACAAATATTGCCTTATTTGATCCTCAACAACCCCATTATTATCCCCATTTTATAGATGAGGAAACTGAGACACAGAGAGGTTATATGACTTGTCCAGGATAACACAGCTAGCAAGTAACTGATGCAGAAATTTAAACTCAGGTCTTCCTTATTCGAGCCCAATGTACCCTATCTACTACACTACCTAGCTGCATCTGGGATTCTTCAGTTTCATTATCTGTAAAATGAGAGGGTTGAACTAGATAGCCTACAAAATTACTAAATCTATAATACTATGAAATAACTTTGTCATTAGACTTCTTTCTTTTTTTTTTTTAATTAATCATGAATTCTGTCAGCTGCCCATGAAAGATTAAGAAAGATGAATGTTATGCTGGAACAAGGATGAAGGGAGTTTGGTGAGTTTTGTGGGTGGAGTGGAGGGAAGAAGTTTATTTAATTGGTAATAATTTTCTGATAAGTATTATATAAGAATCCATCAGTCTTTTATTTGCTCTAGGGTCCTTTTATACTTTTTTTTTTTTAGCAAGGCAATTGGGGTTAAGTGACTTGCCCAGGGCCACACAGCTAGCGTTATGTGTCTGAGGCTGTATTTGAACTCAGGTCCTCCTGACTCCAGGATGGGTGCTCTATCTACTGCGCCACCTAGCTGCCCCGCCTTTATACTCTTAAAAAGTAATGAGGAGCTTCCCTCCACCAAAAATTATTGGTAGTTGCCATATTCAAAATTAAAACATCTTAGTATAAAGACCAGCTAGGTTGTACAGTAGATAGAGCACTGGGACTTGGAATCAGGAAGACTCATCTTTCTGTTCACCTCATTTCCCTGATCTATAAAATGAGACGGAGAAGGAAATGGGCAAACCACTCCTGTTTCTTTGCCAAGAAAACCCCAAATGGGGTCACAAAGAATCAATGAACAAATGAACAACAAAATAGAAAGAAAAGTTTTGACTGCTCAAATCTTCTGAAAGGGTCTCTCTTTGAGAACCGTTGCTCTAAGTAACACCATTCTCAAGGATAAAAGGCAAAATATTTTAAGTATAGAATGATTTTGAAAACATTTCTTCTTTAAAGGTGAAATTCAAGATTCTTTATGATCCATTTCAAGCTAGAACCTGAAATCCAATGTGTTGATTTCTGTTTTATCTAATACATATCTAATATTAAAACATAATAACAAAAGGTCACTTTCAAGACAGGCTGAGTGATTCACATAATTTGCACGATAATTATGGCACCTTTTTGCTAAATATAACTTTCAATGTGAAGTACAAATTACTAAATAGCAATCCACAGCAACAGAAATGCTTACAGGGATACTTGAGCAGTATGTCTCTTAGCAACCACTAAGCATTCTAGACTTGTAGACTTGATGAAGGCAGTCTTTAGAAATACTTTAAATGTATTTAAATGTGCTCTTACCATAATAAACCTCCTAGTGATAAAAAAAAAATGTATTGCCAAACCTGTATCACTTAACCTTATACAGAATAAAGTCAAAATAAAATATAAAGTAATTCATACATTCATACACAAAAAGTACTACTGAAATTCTCCCCACTCTTCAAGGTCCAAGTAACGTTATCTCCTTCATGTGGCTTTCCTTCATCTTCTTAGCCAGAAATGATTCTTCTCCCCTGTGATCTCTGTGGTCTCTCTATCTGTGCTTTCCTGCACAGATTTATATGTACGGATGTGTACAGATTTTGAAGCAATAAATAAATGTTCCTTGAATTCAAATGAACTGTCCTCTGCCATAGTCAGAACATTTCCCAAACCTCAAACGTCCAAAGAACTTGTGTTCATACTTCTCCTCTACATTTGTCATATTCAACCATGTATCATAATTATTTGTGTATATGTACTTAACTAAAGACATGGGTCCAATTCCTATTCATTGTTTCATGTCCTTAGAAGACTAACATAGTACTCTGCAACAGGATCTAATACAAAGGCAGTTTAGTAAATGCTCATGGGAAATCAATAACCCAAGTTGGATTATAAGTATATTTACTTCATTATTTGGGAGGAGAATCCTGCATGAAGAAGTGGTTCATTAGCACTGAGTCTTGATTCTTTGCTAAACTGTTTTTCAGAAAAGATTCTAACTTTTTCCTTGATGAATGAACAAGCTCCTTTGGGTCAGTACCTAAAAGGTGTGTCTGTGTGTTTGTCTGTGTGCACATGTATGCATTCATGTGGAAACACTTAACAAAAATTATTTTCATTTTTTTTTGGTTTTTTTTTGGTCTAGACCTATGATTTCATTCATGTAGAAGTCTCTCAGGATAGAACCTCCTATCAATGCAGAATGGCAACTGCTCTGAACTTAAAGCCTTAGAGAGTTGCAAAGAAGCATTGAGAGGTGAAGTGACTCCCAAGGTCACCAGCCAACCAGTATGTTTCAAGGTGGCCCTGCAACCCTGATCTTCCCAATTCGAGACAGTAATAGTAACTTAAGTTGTTACACAACCATAAGGTGAAAACGGTAGTGAACTAGTATGTAGGTAATATGATCCCCATTTTACAAAAGAAGAAACTGTGGCTCTGAGAATAAGTAAATCAAACTCAACAAGTCCAAAACTAAACTCAATACCCTTCCTCCAAAACCCTCCTCTCCTCTATATGTCAACTTCATTCAAAAGCAGCACCATTTTTCCATTCTCCTATGTTCACAACTCAGCATGCTCCTTAGCTCCTCAATCTCCCTCACCAAATAACAGCCAATAAATTGCCAAGTCTTGCCATTTCTACCTTTATAATATCTCTCATATCTAACCTCTTCTCTCTACTCACGCAGCTACCACCTTAGTCCAAGCCCTCATCACCTCTTAATTAATGTAGCAGACTCCCTGCCTCAGATTTCTCACCAATCAGGTTCATCCTACACACTACTGTCAAAATGATTTTCCTTAAGATCTGACCATGTGTCTCTCCTACTAGATCAATTCCAATGGCTTCCTACTGTGTCCAAGATAAAATAGAAACTTTACTGTTTAGCTGTTAAAGTTCTATACAACCTAGTTCCAACCTATCTTTCCAGTCTTTTTAGCTGTCACTCATAGCCACCCCACCCACTCTGTAATCTAGAGACAAACGTCTCCTGTGTCTGTGCCTTTGCAGGGCTTACTACTCGCGTCTGGAATGCACTCCCTCCTTATCTTCACCTCATAGAGTCTTTCTCTTCCTTTAAGATCTTTAAGATGCAGTTTAAGCACCATCTTCTACATGAAGCATTTCTGATTTTTCCAATGCTGGTGCCTTTCCTTCCAAACCATCTTGTATTTAACTACTTTGAATACATTTTTTAATTATTTTATATCATTTACACACACACACACACACACACACACACACACACACACCCTATTTTCCCCTTGGGAGAATATAAGCTCCTCAAGAATAGGGATTATTCCATTCTCTGCACTTCTGTCCTCAGTGCCTGACATAATAGGTGCTTACAAATATTTGTTGACTTATTAAAGGCTGCACATATGAAATTCTGTTGCCTTATACTGAAGGGTATCTGTTCTCTTCTAAATACTGTATCCAATTTGCCCTTTTTTCTAAAAGGTGAAAATTATTTACAAGGAATCTCACTATAACTCAAATGAGACTGTTCCTTAGGCAGGGACCTAAAGTAAACTAACTGGCCCAGAACTGTAAAGAATCCTGAGATAAGGATAAATAGGAAGAAATAGCCTAAGTTATAGGATCTGGCCCCCAAAAGTCTGCAAAAATGCAATCTAAATTTTAAAAATCATTTTTAAAAAATCATCGATGCTTTTCACTTTATGTCACATTTGTTTCCAAATATATCCCCCACTCCTCCCTACCCAGTGGGCCTTCTTTTATAATAAGAATTAAAAAAGGGGGAAAAAAATCAGCAAAGCCAACCAACACACTGAACATATCTTTCAGTATATACATGATCTCATACCCATAGTCCCCCATCTCTAGGTGGGGAGATGGATTTTTATAACTCTTCTCTGGAGTCAAACTTGGTCATTAAAATTTATGAAGTATTAAGGTTTACAACCCAAAATTTCTAACTGTCCAAGTGATGGTTAATTCCTCTAAGGAAACTGCCAAAGGTTTATAATATTGCTTCCCATAAGGAAGGTGTGCTGCTTCCTAAAAGGAAAAAGGAACTTTACTTAGAAGGCTCAGCATAGTTTTGACTCCTATCATTTAAGACATTTTATTTATGCTCTGTAGTCAAACACTGAAGATTAAATGTTCAGTTTCAAGAGACCCATGCAAGAGCACCTTAAGAATCCTTATGTGAATAATAGGTTTTAAAATAACAAAGGTTCACAAGAGACTAGAGCTATACGTGAGAAATTACTTTTTAATTAAATAACCTATAAAAGAAAACTGCAGAAATCCAAGGATTTGCATTCTCTGTTATTAACTTTCAATATAGTGAGTTAAAGGGGATGCCACACTGAATAGAATACAATGGTGATGCACTTGTGTGTGTGTCTGTATACACATACATACATCCATACGTATATATTATGTATGTATGTATTACGTATGTATGTATGTATGTATGTATGTATTGAGGTAGAATAATTAGTTGATATCCCCCGCCTGTCCTGAACAAAACTTTGACCAACATTTGGTCATACTAAATTCAATAGCAAAGAAATAAAATACAACTGAGTAACAAATACATACAGTCAATTTGAACAAATAGTTTTCTTACCTGTAATACAAATTTCTGATCTATGTATTTTTTGGCAATGCTGGGTTGGAATTCTTGGCTTTCCAAAAATCGTATGAAAAATTCATATACAAGCTGCAACAAATAGAGTACAGTGAGTTCTGAAATAAACAAAGAAAAATATAAGCAACAGAGCACAGAACTGAAATTGGGATTTAGAACCCCAGATAGGCTGGAAGCTGATCACATAATTTCTGTTTTTCTTATGACTGGTTTTCTTACTAGCACAGAAATTAAATCAACTTTCCTCACAAAGCTGCTCTGATATATCATGAGGGATCTGAGACACACACAATAAATTGGGATTAAGATGCTACACTATGTTCTGAGGTGTTTAACATTCCATTACAGTATCTATGATTTCTGACTTTGTGAAATTAAAACCTACAAACACGTACACAGCCACCCACGTTTCCAGCTCCCTCTGCACACAAGTGACTAGAACAGTAATATCAGTCTCTAGTCCTGACCTGAAAAATAAAGAGGGGGTTGAATGCAACTTGCTGCATTCAGTAGTAGTAGTGAGGGACTTAAGAATTAGTTCTAATATATGCACATGGAAGTCTTATTATATTTTGGCAATAAAACCCAATTTTCCCCTATTTCAAATTTTCCATAAATTAAGAGATTCTCTCCTAAGTTCCTCTCTGCCACCCCCACCCCAGTAGTCTATGCTTTTTTGTCCTAATGTTGTCATGCTAATATAAAAAATGCCTCTAGGTCTCAACACTTCAAAGGAAAAAACATTCTTTGATTCATTATACTATAATCTGTGAACAACTATTAATTATGCAAAAATAAGTGAGCTGTTCAAATGACCCTAATAAGGACAGTTTCATCATTTGCCAACTCCCATGCCCTCATCTTGCAATATTTACTCACTGGATGGTAAGAGTTTCTAGTATAACTGGAAATGCATTCTCTCTGCCCTCTGGTTCCTTGAAATCAATTATGATTTTTAATAGTTTGGTGAAAGATTGGCTATATTTATTAATACATACAAAAAAATATTTTGCACTTAAGCAACAAATTTTACTTAAGAACCTCAAAGGCAAACCTTCATGTTTTCAGACAGAAAGACTGAACCAAAAAATAAAGTATGTTTTCAAGGTACCACATGAATATTTCATGCCAAACTCAAGGAAAGACTTTAGGATCTCTTATTCTTAATCTTAAACCAACCAGAAAGTGCTCCCTTAACTGAAAGGGGAAGCCATTCAAAAAATTTTCTACTATTTGAAATGCTAAGCCCTATTTTAGCACAAGACTGTAATTTGCAAATTGCAAAACAGTCTCTCTCTTTGGGAGGTGAAACAGAGGTGGGGACAGAATGGAAGAAGGAAAACACACACACACACACACACACACACACACACAATCTAGCCAAAGAAGGAAATCTTATTTCTCTTGGCCTCTGTCAACACATTAGACAGCAGAGTTGGCTCAGTAATTTGTGAACCTGCTTCAAAAGTGGGAAGGATTAGAATCATTTTGAAGTCATTAATTCAGAGGAATATTTACAAAGTTGAACAACAGGAACACATAGGACTTCTCTGGAGGAGGAAAAAGCTATAAAATAAAGTTTCCCACTTCAATGCAGTAGAAAGAAATGGATTTCAAATCAGAGAACTTCAGTTCCAACCTTAGTTCTTAATAGCTATGGGACAATGTGTAAAATATTTATATTCTCTGGGCCTGTTTCCTAATCCATAAAATGGACTGGGGGGGACTAAATGACCTCTAAGGTCTTTTCCAGTTCTAAATCTGCAATCGAGATTTTTCCCAGAGGATTATCCTTTTAAAGAAGTTCTTTCCAGAGTAAGTAAAATAGGAGAGCAGTATAAAACATAAGACTCAGGCTTGGCAAAAATAAATAAATAAATAAAAATAAACAATAATATCACCTTGAGTCCCTAATACACACGTACAGGTAGCCCACTTTGGGTTTCTTTACAATTCAAGAGGAACCTTTAGAAAAAGTTTGGAGGCCCAAAGGGTATCTCTCTGGAATTTTTGTATTACTGGGAAAATAGTATGGTTGAATTCTTGCAAAAACTATGAAACTTGCTCAAAAGAGAAAGATATATAAATTTATATAAAAATTTATGAAATTAAAAGCAGCAAAATTCTTAACATTTTTCTTTCTTTAAATTTTTAAATACTTCCCAAACAACATATTAGGATTTTTTAAATTACTCTGGAAGTGTCTTAATGGCATCTTGATTTCCTTACTCCATGATTTTTTTTTTTTAATGTAGAAGGTCAAGGAAACCATGATTAAAAGGGAATAGAGAATGACTGATGCATGTGTGTTCATATAAATTACACTGATATATAATGTGGAGAAATATGTTATCTGAGAAAGTGTGAAAAGGAATATATGGGGAGGAGGGAGAGCGGGAAACAAAATGATTAGGTTTTAGGTACGGCAGACTGAAAAAGATTGGGAAACACTTCCCAACTGGTACAGAAGAGGGAAGATCACTTTAATATCCTGCTGTCATTCAGTTGTGCCTCAGTTGAGACTATGAAAGGAATACCATCAGGATTTCTTTAAAAAAAAAAAAAAGCCTAGAGATCCCAGAAAGCAAATTTCTTTATGATGAAAACCCTACACAGGGTTAATAATCCTGGTGCACCTATAGTAAAAATGGCTTTTATGGCCTGTGGCATTTGATGAATACATCTTGTCATGTTTAAATAAGTGCTAATGTGAAAATAGTTTTATTCCAATTTGAGGCTCTGGTGCATCATGCTGAGTCACTTTAAAACGCTTAGAACCTACAATCTGATAATGCACTAAAGCTACAGGAGCAGTGAGATTTTTGACTCACTTTGCAAGAACAAGAAGATTCAAACTAAAGTCCTGAAAAAAAACAGGAAATGTTCATTTTATTCTCTTAGAAATCCTATTAAGAGTGAAAAACAAGTAAATAATCTACCTGCTAAATGAACTAGCAGTAACTTTAAACCTTGATGAATAAAAACTGAAAAGGATATGAATTTTTATCAACTAATGAAATAATGAACCTTCTCCCATATCTTTTTATGCAATGAAATACCTGTAAATGTGGCCATGATGCCTCAAGGGTAGGTTCATCTTCTTCTGGATCAAATTCATTGCTGTCACTAGGAGGGAGAGTTCTGAATATATTGCAAGATACCTTCAAAAAAAAATCAATAAAGTTAGTTAAAAACAGTTTCTAAGAAAGCTTTGTACATATGAAATTGGCATTGCATAGACTGTCTACTTTGCAAAGATCAGTCTAGGTTCAGAAAGACCTGTGGGTCATGGCAAATCATGGAACAAAGGAAAATATAAAATGGCCCTCAATCCCATGGTGCCCCCTTCTGTTTCTACAGTGATGATGATAGAATGGCCCAAAAAGGGTCAAAGTGTGCTAAGAATTGTGTGATTTTTAGACTATCTAAGCATTAATGTAGCTGTTGGTAACATGTAGGATCCTGCTGTAATGTCCAAGAAACAAACATAATACACAAAGAACGGAATCAAATAAATCTTGACATCCTCACTATAAATGAAACCAAAGAAAAAGGAAGGCATAGGAAAGAATGGAACTGAAATGGAAAGAATGGACAGAATGATCACAAGTTCTCCTTGGAGAAGCAAATGATGTTGTCAGTGCTTATGTTACTCTGTGTCCAAAAGCAACAAGAAATATCACTTGGTGATCATACACTGTGGTGCACGTGATAAGCATTTTCAACAGACAACTGTAAAAATAACTGTTGCTTATGTACCAATGACTGTTGGAAAGGATGAGACAGAAGAGAAATTGAAAGACGAACTTGAAAAGGCCCTTTCAAATGAAATCAACAAGCATTCTGATACTTGGTGACTTCAATTCAAGCATAAAGGAAGGTGGTGAAAAATACTTTTAAATATATAGTTCAGAAGTAAAAAATAAGAGGCCAAAGACTACTCTGAAACACATTAGAGAGATTAGAAGAAGGTGTTGTATATATTAAGTACTAAATAACATGACAAAAATAAATTGGTTACATTTCAACAGGAAAATAAAATGACTGGTTATGGATGTAGGAGTTATTTCCAAATCAGGCATGTATACAATTAGGTAATAGACTGAGAGCAAAGAACAAAATTAATAACAATATTAGAAGAATAAAAATGAGAAAATATGGCATCCTACTGATACAACTCCAATATGACACAAATCCAATCAGCAAGCTGATGATGCTAAAAAAATTGATAATAAATTTTAAGAAACTTTAAGATGGCCTATCACTATTTCCTAAGCACATTAAACATTTATAAATAAATCATTACAAGGAGGCAAAAGGGACCTAAAAATATACAGTTAGCAAAACTTGGATCTCTTTATCCAAGTGGACAATTATGGGGAAGTATGAATTTAGAATATTAATTCATTTATAAAGCCTTACAAAAGAGCATGGTGAAAGATGATAAGCAATATTGACACATAAAATTTCTCCAATGCAAGCAGCATGGAGGAAAAAAAGGGAGTTTATGAAAAGTTTGGTGAGAAATTCCAACTAAGCAAACGCATCCAGAAGGAATTTAAAAATTGAAGAACAGAGAGTAATAAATAAATCACAAATGTAAAAGATTTGTGTTAAAAATTTTTATTCACTCTTTTTTTTTGTCATCAATTACAGTGTGGAGCTAAGAAGAAAACTATCTAGATTTTAGAAATGCATTTGATAAAGTGATCTCATTAGTCTAGAAAAGACAGAGATACAACTAGAAAGATTCAAACATTGCTGAATGTCTGGACTCAAATGTTTCAATATCAATGTGGCAGGAGGACTCTAGTGGAGTATCCCAAGGATTTTGTTCTTGGCCCTGTCCCATTTAACATTTTCATCAATGGCCTGGATAAAGACATAGATTGCATGTTTATCAAATTCTTAGAAGATATAAATAAAGCTGAGAGAGATGGCTTATACACTGAATAACAGAGTTAGGATCCAAAAAGATCTTGACAGACTAGAAAACTGAGCTACATGTAATAAGATGAAATTCAACAAACACAAATGTAAAGTCATACTCAGGTTTAAAAAATCAACTGCACAAATACAGGATGGGAGGAGGCATAGTCAGATAATGGTCTGTTTAGGAAAAAAAGATTTGGAGATTTTGATAGACTACAAACTCAATATGTAAAGTTGTGTTCAAATATTTGCAAGTCTATCAAGTGAGAAAGATTATACTTGTTCTGTTTGGCCCTCAAGGTAGAAGCTGCAAAGACAATGATTCCTACACAAAAGTGGAATGGACTGCTTCGGGAGTGATGGGTTGTACATTATTGAAGGTCTTTGAATAAAAGCTGGATGATCATTTGTTACATATGTTGTAATAGAGATTCCTTCTGGTATGAGTTGAACTAGATGGTTCTATAGTCCCTTACAATTCTAAATTTCTGTTGATTCTGTGCAATTCAGTAAGAAAAAAACTTTGCTTGAAGACCCTCTGGTTTATAAGCCATAAAATAGGGAGATACAGATTTGCCAATGTCGCGTGCCATCATAACAGAGGACATTCAGAACAGGGTCCAGGAAGGTTATATCACTTGCCTATGGTCACAGGGGTATTAAGGGTCAAAGGTGGGCTGTGTTCTTCCCACTGTACCATATTGTCTCAGTATATGTCTTTGACAGAAACTGAAAATGTACAATGTACAATAAATCAATGGCCCAGAAATGAACAAGAGGATAAAAAGAGGTTAGATTACCTTTAAGATATTATTCAGTACTTCAAAAACACAAAACAAAAAAGACTGGGTCCCCCTATATTGTCCAGGCTAGAAATGCAAGGACTACTTACAGGCCCCATCCCAGTCTGATTGTACTGGAGCTTTGACCTGCTGTGTCTCTGACTTGGGCCAGTTCACTCTTCCTCAGGTCAACTGGTTGCCCTAGGAACTCACCGTATTAATGTCAAGCTTAATTCCGACAGAGAATCAATCAGCTAAGCCCAATATAATTCTTATCTCCTGAGCACAAGAGGGTCTACAGTTTCAGCCTCCCATTAGCAGGATTATTTGCATGTACTACTAGGCCCAAGTTACAGTGCTTTAATGACCCTAAACTTCTCCTTGAAACAAAGCTACAACTTTTTAACATGGATGTTCTTCTGGTAACGTTTTAAGGTTGCAAGTAATAGAATATCCCAGTCTCAATACCACTGTAAGTTGTGGGTCCACCATATGCCTCTCCATTCCCCTTAATAAAAGGATTTGTTCTGTGAAGTTTGCATTTAGTCAAAGGGCCACACTTGAGGGCCCAGAGGGCCACACGTGGTCTTAAGGCCGCAGGTTCTCCACCCCTGGTCTACACCAAGAAAGCCCTAAAAACAGTCTGGTAGAATGACCAGGATTATAAAATGCAATGAGGCTATTTACAAAGAAATTAAAGTACTTGACTTATCCAACTATTTCAGGGATTGAGATGAAATTTACCTAAGGATTTAGTTTGTAGTAACAATCTTGATCTCAGACACATCAATCAACTGAAAATTCTATTCTGACCCTTCAGTTTTCAGTGTAAGCATCCTTACTGCCAACTCATCCTAAATTCCACCAGCTTCAGGGATGAGCCTCTCCAAGAATGAATGAAATCTATTCCACAACAGAGTAATGCATCCTGGGGCACATGGTCAATGCTCTTTTAACTCAGCATAACTGTCCAGAACCTTCACTCCACTTCCCAAGCACAAGCAGTTCCATACAATAGCGAGGTGGAATAAAATATTAGGAAGGGATTACTGGATTTTCATCTACCCAATAATCCAATAAACATTCCCATCTATAGAAAGTACAACTCGGAGGTATGCTAATTCAGGCTACACATAGTGGATACCCTTCCATGGACAGAAATAGTTAGAATGACTTTGATGGAGTTCATAATTACAACTAATGAGCACCAAAATAATTGTCCAACCTCTGCGTACAGCTTGCTCTAACTTGCTCATGGTTAATACATTCAAAGACTCCTGGATTATGTTTATCTTAGACAAGCACACTTATTCGTAAAGGGCTCCAGTTCCCTTTGTCATTCTGAGCATAAAAGTGTAACCTCGAGCAGTTTCTCAGGTGAGTTTTCAGTACTGTTAGAGGTGATCAGCTCCTGGGTAGACCTCAAGTATGTGGTGTCACATTCTGGATCAAGACAAAAAGGACCTAGGTGACTGTGTCACAGACTACACATCTGTCCTCAATGTATCTCTCCTTTAATATCAAGAATTTCTAAGGAACTTCCCTGTAAACATCAGCTGTGTTTCAGACCCAGACCAGATTGTTATACATCTTGCATAAATGCAATAGCAATTTGAATTTTTGGATCAATTTATTGCAATATGTCATTTGATCCTTACAGTACCATTATATTAGGGTAGAAAGTACAAGTATTATTATCTCACTTTACAGATGAGGAAACCAGAACTTAAAGAAACTCTGTAAACTTACTCAAAGTCACAAAGCTATTAAGTATTAAAGTTGAAACTCACATTTTTTTGAACCCAGCTTTTCTGATACCAAGTCTGATGTTCATTCTATTGCCTTCTGCAAGCCTCTACAATATTATATCTTTGGTTTTAGGGTGAGGTCTGTGCTATTTGAAAACTATTTTACAAAGACAACTAAAGGCTGTTATCCAGTGTCAACTTGGCATCTGTCAATGAATAAAATTAAATTAAGTGAACAAAAAATAATTCTGCTGTCTAACCAAGAGTCTAAGTGGTAAACTTGTAGTTACTGCTTCTTCTATGAAACCTTGTTCTTTCATATCTAAGATTTAAGTGGATTATCAAATAAGTAATGACAGCTCTGTGCTTATCCAGGATATATGATCTCAACCCCTCCCCCTTCCTACCCTAAACCTCTCCATTCCTGACCCTCCCTCAAGTTCATTAAAAGAGACAGGTGGCTAAGATAAAATGGGTGTTGAAGGTTCTTACCCTTTCAGCTGATCATTTAGGGAAAAAAAGTGTTACCAAAAAACAAAACTTTGAAAACAAATTTACAGTTTACATTTTCAATAATATTCATAGAATAACCAAAAAAACTCAGAATAGAAAGTATTTCAGAGGTCACTTAGGACAAAATATAAAATTTTTGAGAGACAGTGTGGTATTCAAGAAAAAGCCATGAATTCAAATAAACAG